GTTGATGCAGATGCCGTATATCAAGATTGCTGGGAGGACGATCTGACAGAAACAAAAGTTGATCTGGCCGACAAGAAGGAAGATTTGTTTATAGAGATTCACGGCTGTGGTCAGATTATCGGAATATTTGAACCCAATGAAGATCCGTGACCTTGAAACGTCCATTTTGAGACTACATTATCGTTTTGCACTTGTATTGACTAGACTTACTTCCTCAAACAGGACAAATATCCTGCAACCAAAGCTCCGCAGCAGATTGGCCAAACCATGATGCTGAAACCGATCGGAACCACTGACACGATCACGCCTTGAAACATCAAGGAGTCCGCAAAGATGATCCATTGTACTCAATTGGACCTCGAAGTTACTGTGATTGATTTAAGAAAGGTTGATATTTTTGCTTCTCGTAGAACGACAGCAAATTCTGTGACCGGTCCCACAACCGATACCACTGTGGCTGTCCAGCTACACATTTTTACTCTAAATTGCCAATGTTGAATCAGTTCAGAACAACAGCTTGTGACAAAGCCAAAATATGTCGGAATTATACAAACGAGCCACAATTGCATAATGAGCTTATGGTCGATCCAGAAAGTACTGAGCTATGGAATTCTCAGGAGGCTAATTGGCCGACCTCGCCATAAGCTATAACATGTAGAGTTTGAAAATTCACCGTACGGTCAGTTCCAGATAGATTTTCAAAATTCAGCCCGTCTTGGAAACATTGAACCCTTGCGCGAAATATATAATTTCAGATTTTTGAAACTCAGCCCCACCCCCTCGTTATCGAGGTCACAAGGTCAGAAAACGAGTAAAATTTCTACATAGAATTTGAAATTTCTACGACGGTATTTGAAGGTCGTCGACGTAAATTTTTGGCGGCAATGACTGAAATAGTCAGGGCGTCGTATTGGCGACTAGTTGGTTACACCCCCTGATGTTAAATCATTGTGGGGGTGGTCAAAAATCAAGTCACAATAATTAAAGAGACAAAAAAATCCCTCCACACTCGGTTTCTAATGTCACTAACGCACACAATCGTACTCAGGCCCCTCTTCTGAGTGATTTGATATTGTAAGTGACCCCATGGCGACGGGGGGTGTGGCCATCAGCGCTTCTTCCAAGACCCTGCCCAAGCACGGCATGCGACATATCATTTTTCTCAGCTCGCCAAGGGGATTGCAGTGTCAAAATTCAAATTTTAAAAAACCACACCCCCTGTGGGTGTGGTCATCGACCTCCGATGAATTTTGCTAAACCATGGCATACGACCTATCATTTTTCTCAACTCGTCAAGGCGAATGCGGAGGCATAATTCAAAGTTTAAAAACCACACCCACTGTGGGTGTGGTTGTCGACTTCAGCTGAATCTAGCTACATTGCGGCATGCGACATATCATTTTTCTCATCTCGTCAAGGGGATCGCAGTGACATAATTAGAATTTTAAAAACCACACCCCCGGTGGGTGTGGTCAGCGATTCCTGTAGAATCTTGCCAACACATGGCATGCAGTGCAGTATATCATTTTTCTAAGCTCAAATAGGTGAATGCGGAGGAATAATTCAAATTTTAAACACCACACCCCCTGTGGGTGTGTTCATTTTCGACTTTTAGAATTAAATGAAACCATGTCACGTGCTATATCATTTTTCTCGCTCGATGAGAGAATCTCAATTGAAACAAAAATTCAGAAACCACACCCCCAGTGGATGTGGTTATCAGTGACTCTTCGAGTTTATCGAAACCACGTCGTGTGAAGTGAAGTGAAGCTCTTAGAAGCTTACAGGATGTAATATGTGCAAAAGTATAATTACGTGAATTATCTCTCAGTACGGCAAATTCGGATGATCTTGAGGCAAGTCTGGCTAGATTAGAGGGCGCTGTTCCTCAGAGCTTCGAAGTAGTATCTAATGTTTGAGTATGTTTGTATAATCAATGTTTTTGTAATTGAAATAAATTATTCCTTTCAGTTCCAAATGATTAACTTGGAAGCTGAACCGTCGCCATAATCTAGCCGAGAACTTTCGCTTGGATCCACATTGGTTTGAACTCTCAGGCTAACCTTGGCACCTACGGGAAACAAATTTCACTTCAAATTAACAACACCTTAAAATCCATATGAGGCACATTAACTGCAAGTTTACATTTTGTTTGTGGGTAATTTAGAAAATATCTAACCATTAATGAATAATAAGTTGAACAAATTATTTAATCTCACTTAAACAATATTGACTTTAATTTGTTAACTATAAACGAATGTACCTGATCAATAGATTTCTAATGTGACATAGATAAGTAAATACAATATACAGCTTTGTCAGGCAGCGAATGAATAACGCATAACTACAACATGACCACCAGTTTGAAGTACCTACTTATCAAATTTCTACTAGACAAGTAGCGTACCTCGTGGTCTTGCTTAGCATAGTTTCAATTACCGTCAGGGTTCTTGTAAATTTAATATATCAAGGAAATTAAAGATTATTTCTTATATCAAATCGTGAAATATAAAACAGAGCACATTACCAAATTATGGAATCCATGAAAACCCTAACTTGAATACATTGGTCTATGAAATCTAAATTTTTGATTTGATGTTTTCCGGTTTATTACTTGAATAGTTCGCCTTGGATTTTTATTATTACGTAGATGATGATAACCTTTGACATGGGATACATACTGTAAGAATGAGGATGCGGCTCTTGAGCATTGAATTTCCTGTACGAGCTTACCAACTAGTTTACCATTCACATATATACATATCTAATACCCGCATATGCGTAGATTGAAATGCATATCAATTCAAGGATCGATAAATTAGACATCGTTCCTTTAATTCCGAGGAGTGCATGCCCAAGTATATACAAGTACAAAGGGCATAATGTTTGCGGTAGGAGTGCATAATATGACACGTGTTCAGAAACATTATATACATAAAAAATTCCACAAATAATGCCACGTTTCCAAAAAGTCGTATTTAGCGGTAGTGAATTTATGCAAAGATGTGTTTAATAATCGATTAGCAACTATGTGTATATACCTAATAGCCAAGGATAAAGCCAAGGATGAGCCAAGGATAAGTATAAACTGTCATCACAACTCGGTTATAGTAATTGGAGTAGTCCTCGGTACTTGAAGGTTACCTGAACGAAAATACCTTTCAGTACAGCTTTGCGGAGCCCGACCCAGGGATTTAATTTTACCCGTATGGTTAAATGAACCACTTATCATGAATACATCCATATTTAATGCATGCATAAAAATCAGTATGGATGACCCCATAGTGTGACCCCAGATGAAAATTTGTCAATTTCACTTTATATTCTTGCTTTACCAACCTTTTTCAACCTCTATACCAAATTTCGGATGAGTTTGAAAAATCGGTATGGGTCAGCCCATTAGGGTCCGGCCAGACAAAGATTTTTCCAATTTGACTACACTTTGTCCTATTAGAGGCTATTAGCAACCTCTGTACCAAATTTCAGCTTTCTACGACAATTTTGAAATTTTGGTGCACAATAACCCAACCACTTATATGACCCCCACCGGCCAACCAGTGCACCGATTTTGCTCATCTTCGAACTCGATTCCTAACTTTGGCCAATATGTATATAGTAAAAATTTCAAGTCGATCGAATAAGTTTAAAACGCGTTATCGTTAGACGGACAGACGAACAACACGGACACATAAGCTCTGGGTAGGGCTAAAAAGAGAAAATATTGTACGTATACAATATTGAATACGTTAAAATCAAGGTGACTACTTTTAGGGTTAGCCGCTTTCATTTTTCCACACAAACCCGCATAATTCGAGTATTTATTTATTCATTTCCAATTATCTTTCCATGCTTCATAACTAATACCGCATGTATATATGTAGCGCGTCAACGCAGGCGTGATTTTGGAAACTTTTTAAAGACGATTTGCGAACAGTTACATATATGCGTTAAAGTGTACGTACGATTTTTGGAAATTAAATTAAACTGCACCCAAATGTAGAGAGCTATCACAAATTTAGAAATGTAGGATCACAATGAAAATACCCAAAAAATTTCATCATGCAACCCTTCATACAAGTAATTAGTCATTAATCTGACAAAAATTAAAGCATATTTTTTCGACAAGTATGTCCCCACGGTAAAAATCATCTTCCGCGGCCACTGATGGTTACATAACAGCAAAAAAATCATTCGGCAAATATGAATTCATATGTAAGAAGCATGTAAGAGTATTGTTAAATCTATCGGTATTTTCATATATGTATATGTGTTGAAATCTCAATCCAATTTAAGGGTGATTGAGACGCGAGGAGGGAGAGCATGAAAAGTAGTGGGAGTGCGTGTGTCTTTGTCTTTGAGTAAAAAAAATGTGAGCTGGTCGACATTGATCAGTTATTTTTAATTGTTGAAATATTAATTCCAAGTTGTTATTTAAATAAAGTTATTTAACAGTTAAGCTGCAGAGTAGCTAGCATGACTTTATTTAGGTGGAATTAAACCGGTCATCTTTACATTTCTTGCTCGGCACAGTCAAAATCGGTGATCGCTAGCCAACGGGTAGTTAGTTAGGACGTGATCCCAGTGGAAATCTCGAGCAGATTACACATTTTGGTGACCTCGACGTGATCGAGTGTCAAGAAGTAAAGAAGACATTGTGGGCGGAGAATCCTAGAGAACCGTCAAGAAAAAATATCAGGAGGATATCAACAACCTGTCTTGCCATTTTGTGGGCCCCACCCTGTGCATTCGGGGTCATAAGAGGTGATATCTTTCTTAATTTTATACATTGGAGGGAGCCAAGTAACCGGTAGAGCAGCCCGTGAGGTCATCCCATTCATCCCATCCAAGGGGAGGAGTATTTTTATAATATTGTCTTGCCACTTTGTGGGCCCCACTCTGAGCATTCAGGGGCATTTGAGGGAAGAGATTGTTCTGTGCTGATTGACAGATTCGAATCTTTTCTAATTGTTTGTTCTGTTGGATTTTGAGGTGCAACCACAATGGAGCGTTTAAAGATGATGAGGGCGTCGGTGCGAACTGCCATCACCAAAACGGCGAATGAAGTGGAAGCCGAATTCACAAAACCTCAACTCGCAATATTGGACCTTCAAGTCATGATGCAGAAGCTCGAAAGGAAGGCCACTGAAGTTGCAGAGTTTGACCAGAAGATTTTGGAGTGCATGTTGGGCGTTCCGTGTACGCAAGAGGAACTTGATGTGGAGAAGACAAAGAATGACGAGTATCAAGACAAGATCTCGAGAGCAAGATTCCGCGTCGACGCTGTTATCCACCAAACTACAAGTTCTCACAGCCCAAGCGGAAGTTATGCATCGGTGTGCTCAGAAGCAACGCGTCAAAAACAGAGAAGCTTCAAGTTACCGAAAGTGGAGCTCAAGAAATTTAATGGCGATCTGAAAGAGTGGCTTGGATTTTGGTCACAATTTCAAAAGATCCATGAAGATGAAAGTCTACACGACACGGACAAGTTCCAGTATCTCCTTCAAGCGATGGTGCAGGGTTCTGAGGCAAGGGATTTGGTTAAGAGTTACCCACAATCAGCCGAAAACTACCCACTGGCCGTTGAAGCGTTGCAGCAGAGATACGGAAGAGAAAGTCTACTTTTACAAGTATACATCCGAGAGTTGTTGAAGCTGGTGATGGCCAATGTCACTCAGAAGGACAAGCTCCCATTGGACCGGATGTATATTCAGATCGAGTCACATTTGAGAGCGCTAAAAACTCTTAATTTGGCGACAGCGGATCCGGCGACGTGGCTGTTCCCGTTAGTAGAATCCAGCTTACCAGTGGAGACTTTACAAGCGTGGCAGAGAAGTCCAATGTCGAAGCATGATGGATCGGCGGATAAACCACCCAAGAGCTGTTTGGACCTGCTCATGGAGTTCATAAAAGCTGAAGTACAAGGACAACAGCAAATTGCCTTGGCCCAGTATGGATTCCAGGAGTACAGTGTCAAAGATAAGAGGAGCAGAAGAGGCGAGAGAGGAGAAAGTCCGATCACTGCAGCTGCTCTGTTTACAGGAGACGTGAAGTCTCAGACTTGTATTTTCTGTGCGAAATCTGGTCATCAAAGCCATGTGTGCTACAAAGCGAAGAAGATGACGCATGAAGAGAAAATTGGCAAGATAAAGGAAGCTCATTCTTGCTTCAAGTGCTTGAAACGAGGACATATTTCAAAAAAATGTCAAGTTTCTGTAAGTTGTCCTGTCTGCAACAAGCCCCACTATCCAGTAATGTGTGAGGAGAAGAAGCAGAATGAAGCAGACGAGATGAAGGAAGTCACGGAAGGTGTGAGAACAATGGTATCATCACAACCGAGAATGTTGACATTGGAATCCTCATCAAGCGACCAGAAAATTGTACTCAGAGGGACAATGACAGTTAAAGTAACCGGAGCCAATAATCAAGAGAAGAGGGTGAGAATTCTCGTGGATTCCGGGAGCGATGTGAGCTACATTAAGAGTTCACTGGCTCGTGACCTGAAGTTAAAAGCGATCGGGAAGCGCGTATTTCAGACGGAGGTGTTCGGAGGAAGTTTCGAAATCTCACAGCGAACAGAATATGCAATTCAACTCAAGGGGATCAACGGAGGAGAAACGAAGTTCAACGCTTTCTCTGAAGACAAAATATGCGGAATATGCAATCCGATTCCGTATGGACCCTGGGTGAAAGAATTAATGAAGTTAAATGTGTATTTGACGGATGTTGAATCAGAACCGTCTGAAATACATATATTGATTGGGTCAGACCAAATTGGACAATTACTCACAGGAAGGATGATCAAGGTCAGCCCTACTATCACCGCCACCGAGACTTCCATTGGTTGGTACTTAAACGGAGAAGTACCAATCCAGAAAAATCAGTCGCTGGCAGCTAGGAGTATCGCGATGACCACGCGAGCTCATGACATCAGTGTGCTTTGGGAACTGGATACCATGGGTATCAAGGATACTGCGCTGCAATCCAGCCCGGAAGACCACGACAGGAAAGTCAAAGAGGATTTCCAAAACAATTTGAAGAGGTCAGAGGATGGGAGGTACATTGTAAAACTGCCCTGGATCAACGGAGCGCCTCCTCTACCTAATAATAAAGATGTAGCAGAGAAGAGACTCATCTCAGCTACAAACAAGTTACTCGCCAAGGAAGAATTTCAACAATATGACAATATCTTTCGTGCTTGGGAATTGGAAGGAATTGTTGAAGTGAAAGTGAACTTGTTGGATCAGCCTGATGGACACTTTCTCCCCCACCGCCCAGTTTTCAAGCCAGGAAGTCTGACGACACCAGTGCGACCAGTTTTTGATGCTTCCTGCAAAGTTGGGAATAAATCGTGCCTCAACCAGTGCCTGGAGAAGGGTCCCAATTTACTTGAAGTAATTCTGGCCATCTTACTTCGTTTCCGCAAAGAAAGGGTGGGAGTGATTTCCGACATCCGAAAAGCCTTTCAGATGATCGAAGTGGATCCCGAAGACCGCAAGTTTCAGAGATTTCTTTGGTGGGAAAATGAAGAAAAGAAAATTATGAAAATTTATCAACATTGTCGAGTCATATTTGGAATGAACTGTAGTCCATTTATCTTGGCCGCAGTTCTGGAGTTCCATCTTTCCAACGTCGCAGAAGAAGAGAGGACGACAAGTTTGGAACTGTTGAAGTCACTTTATGTCGACAACTGCGTCACTTCTTTTGCTACTGAAGGAGAATATCAGAAATTCAAGGAGGAGTCCATTTCCATTTTGGCGAGAGCGAAGATGGACCTCAGGGAATTAGAGTCAAACACAGACCCAGCGATGGAAAGAAGAATCACATCGGTTTTGGGGTATAAGTAGGATAAACAAAGTGACCACTTATTCTGTGATTTGTCCCAACCATGGAGCGAGGATGAACACCCAATAGTAACAAAGCGAAGTGTGTTATCGTTGGCTGCTCAAGTTTTCGACCCCATAGGATTCTTGTCCCCAGCGGTCCTACAATTGAAGATGTTACTCCAAGAAGCGTGGGCTCAAGATTTAAAGTGGGATGAAGAATGGAACGAGGGGAAAAGTACTGAAGTATTTAAGTGGTGTAGGCAAATGGCATCACTTTCTAATATCAGAATTCCTAGATGTGCAATAATCTGTTCAGCAGAATTGCAACTCCACGTCTTCACCGATGCAAGTAGAGATGCCTATAGTGGGATCGTGTTTGCCAGATGTACTGATGTTCAGGGAGAGGTCAGTATCCAGTTATTATTGGCCAAAGCAAGAGTAGCTCCACTGGAGAAGAATCCCGAGAAACAGAAGAATGGCAATCAAATTTCCATCCCGAGATTGGAATTGCTGGGATGTTTATTAGGAGCTCGTTTAGCAGACACGGTCAGAAAATCAATGGAATATGACGACATTACGACCGTGTACTGGTCCGACTCAACACCAGCCCTGGCGTGGATCAGAAGAGACGAATATTGGGGAACTTTTGTCGGAAATCGTGTGCGACAAATTCTGAAATGTTCAAAGAAGGAATTTTGGCGTCACGTCCCTGGAAAGATGAACCCTGCAGATCTTCCCTCAAGAGGCTGTCCACCAAACGAGTTATTGGCATCCAGATGGTGGGAGGGACCAGAATGGCTGCGCCAAAATCCAGAAAATTGGCCCTGTGGCGCCGACGCCCTAGATGACGAAGAGATCCTTGCAGAGAAGGAAAAGACTTGGGTGAAAGTGGCAAAATTTAAAGAAAGTTCCAAGCCCAAGTTTCATTCGTACTACAAGAATGTTCGGATTGTAAGCTACGCAATACGGATCCTGAAAGGCATGGATCAAGAAAAGCTGAGCGACGCCCTTACAGTATTAGAACTGAGGCAAGCAGAAATAGCAATGCTACGAATAATCCAGTCAAGATATTATTCCAATCCAAGGAAACTTCAATTGCGAGTGGAGAAGATGGAAGATGGACTTCTTCATATCAAGACAAAGTTGGAGTACAAAGATGACACCGAAGGTTTCCGGTACCCGATATTGTTACCTCAAGACTGTCCATTAATTCAAGAGCTGATCCGAGAAGTACACCGTATGTATTCTCATGGTGGAATCCAGTTCACGTTGACGAAGCTCCGAGAAAAATACTGGATCCCGCAGGGAAGAAGGACCGTGACGAAGGCCCTGAGGGAATGTCTTGCATGTCGAAAACAAGACCCTAAGCCCTTGCAAGTCAACCCTGTGGCACTGCCGAAGAAAAGAGTGACCACAGGAGAAGTGTTCAGCACAACTGGCGTGGATTTGGCTGGTCCATTGTACTTAAAAGACAGGAAGAAAGTGTGGATCGTGCTATACACTTGCGCCGTGTACAGATGCGTCGCCTTGGACTTGGTGGAATCTTTGAGCTCTGAAGCATTTATCAACTCATTGGAGAGATTTATCTGCACCTATGGGCGTCCAAACACACTGTACTCGGACAATGGGACAAATTTTGTGGGTGCTCACTCGTTTTTCATGAAGATGAATTGGGAGAAAGTAGAACGAGCAAGCCACGTGAAACAAATTCAGTGGATATTTAATCCTCCCACTGCTGCCTGGTGGGGAGGATGGTGGGAACGCCTTGTAAGATCAGTGAAAGACCTTCTTCGTCGAATGTTGGGAAAGGCGTCACTGACTCGAGATGAGCTGACCACATGTTTGAGTTCGGTAGCAGCAACAATTAACGACCGACCGTTGACCACTGTGACCGAAGATGAAGAAGATCTCGTCGCCTTAACACCAGCAATGTTTTTGAAGGGAACTAAGTTGACCAGATTCCCAGAAGCGGAAGTGATGACAGGAAAAGAACTCCAAGTTCGCTTCAAACATGTTAAGAAGTTACAACGAGATTTACAGTCCAGATTCCGGAAAGAGTATCTCGCCGAGTTGGTACAGAAGGCCAGCGAGAAGAGGACCCAAGACCCCCGAGTTGGCGACGTTGTCTTAGTAGGAGCCGACAACAAGAAGCGTTTGGAGTGGCCTTTGGGTAGGATCATCAAGTTGAATCCGGGAAAAGATGGAGAGGTGAGGTCAGGTCTTGTGAAGACAGCCAAAGGAATTTTGTCAAGACCTCTACAGCGTCTCTATCCTTTGGAGATCCCGTATGAAGATCAAGAAATGATGAAAGTTTCTCCTGAGATTTTGATGGAGAACTTTGATGAAGAATCAGAATGTTTGGAAGTGGAGGAACCGGAAGAAACTCAAGTCGATCAAGCAGAACCGGAAATTGCTACCAGAGTAGGCCGGAAGGTGAAGAAACCACAGCGTCTTGGAGTGTTCAGTGCTCATTATTAATTTGATTGATTTTTGAATTTTATGTATGATTGGTTATTAGTTTTATGATTTCTTTTCCTCATTAGCATTCCGCAAAAGAAAGGTGGGAGTGTTAAATCTATCGGTATTTTCATATATGTATATGTGTTGAAATCTCAATCCAATTTAAGGGTGATTGAGACGCGAGGAGGGAGAGCATGAAAAGTAGTGGGAGTGCGTGTGTCTTTGTCTTTGAGTAAAAAAAATGTGAGCTGGTCGACATTGATCAGTTATTTTTTAATTGTTGAAATATTAATTCCAAGTTGTTATTTAAATAAAGTTATTTAACAGTTAAGCTGCAGAGTAGCTAGCATGACTTTATTTAGGTGGAATTAAACCGGTCATCTTTACATTTCTTGCTCGGCACAGTCAAAATCGGTGATCGCTAGCCAACGGGTAGTTACTTAGGACGTGATCCCAGTGGAAATCTCGAGCAGATTACACAAGTATGGAGAATCGACAATTCAATAGGATGTGATTGCACGCTAAATAAATACGGTCAAAATTTACCCAACCTTGATCAAGTTTTAATCAACTGTTGATGCCGAAATGCGATGACACAACTCTTGTACAGCTATCTCACTCAAGGGTTGAGTAATCCGATCACACAATAGTTGAGTAAATTTTGCTCGACTTGTTAGTTAAACGAAACATGGGCTGATGAAATTCTGCACATTAGTTGAGTAAAAATTTCTCTTCGATTAACTAAATTTTATCCAATTATAGAATGAATTTTATTCAATTATTGAGCCATATTTCCTCAACGATTGGTTAAGCTGTTTTCAATTGTTGGATACTTTTCGCAAGTTAATCTAATTTCAAAATTAATACCCTCTGGTACATTCACATAAAAAACAGTGTTTTTATTCAATTACATTTTCCACACTAGTTATTAAATTAAGACAGGTACAAAAAACAATCGATACAATTAATACTTGCAAATATTGCACAACCTACAAAAATGGACGATCTACCTTTGTACGATCTACCTTCGTTTAATCTAAAGTTATTTGAGATCCAAGTGACAGCACAGCCGAGGGGGGTGAACGGATTTCCCTAGTTCGATAAATCGAATGGTCGAAGAAACACCACACAGGATAACACTCGTCAGGGAATTGAAGTTGAAGAACATAAAACATTTTGAAGCATATGTCAACGGCATTTACTAGTGAGGTAGCCTTGATGAGTTTCCTTTCCACGATGACATGAGTCATGAATTGTGCGTGACGCCAAATCCCCGACACAAATTATAAATGGTTGATTTCTCTTTGACTCTGAGATCCTTAAATCCTCAATATTATGGATAACCTGAAAACAAACAAGAAATACCATCGATTATCTAATTTATCCGGAAATAAATTAATTGTATAAAATTGAACCAAAACATACAAACTGCATAGAAAATTCCGCTGATTCAACCGAGGTAATTTTCCGCCTCCTTTTGTTTCTTTTTGAATATGCAGAGCTAGCAGTCAGAAATGGAAGCATTACAAGTGCCCCAATTGATTTGTCGTCTACGTGAAAAAAATCCAGCATATTACTTCCATTATTAAATAAGCATAAATTCATGCTTTGAATTAAATAAGTATTTGCTTACCATTAGACCAGCTCGATAAGAGCTTTTTTATTCCAATTTCATCAAGATTCACCTTGATTTTCTCCCCGTAATTACAAATTTGGGTTGCCACAGCCGGCCACTTGAGGAGCACCTGGTCGCATTTGTCGGGATAAACGACTTTGAAGTCGTGCTCAACCTTTATCAAATATACAATGTAAAATTTATTTCTACTGGTAAGGGATTTGAAGGGTTCGATACCATTCCTGGAGTGTCAAGGAGTCTTGGCCACTGGTTCAGCAATTCGGCTAAATTTTTAGTAGCCTTGAACTGGCTTGTCCTCAAACGGTAGGTGTCGGTCATAAACTGAACTACTTGAGTTATAGGGGCAGCAGAATTAATCAGCCAAGATTTCTTTTCCTGTTCGTCAACCGTTGGATCTGTAAAATCAATCAAAATAATCAAATTATTTGCCCAAAATAATATAAAATTGTTCACAATTAGTAATTGGCGCTACCTAAAACTTCACTTGATTCTACATGCAGCGATTTCGATCGACTTTTTACTTCATGTTTTCGGCGGATGTACTTCAGTCTGTCCTCGATTAACCCGGAGGCTGGAATCCTCTTGTAAATATTTCCATCTGATCCATCTCTCTTTGAATTGGATAATTTAGACTCGCTGTAGAATAGATGGTGTATTAAAACAACAAAATTTATTAATTTATTATCAGATCTGTTAATAAGATAAGAATTTCGTACAACTATATCTAATTTTTGAGAATCCGGGAGACTGGAAAATAGCTGGGTCGCAATACACTGAGCCAGATTTTCTTTAATGTACTTGGGAGGGCTAAAAAATTGCATTTACAAATGTAATTATTAAACGTAATTATCAAAAGCAATTAATTATGAAATAGGGATTATTTGCATGCGGATTTGCCTCATGACTCTTACTAGTATGAATATTCTTTAATCAGGTTATTTACTGTCCGGCGTTTAATCAGATTTTTCAAGGCGAAATTGACCACATTTTTCTCGGCACAGTCGGCTAACATTCGCCTTCCTTTTGTGGTTCCCTTATCCGCATCCGATGAAATTATAATTTTCTTAATATCCTGATTACAAATAAAAATTTAAGCAAAATGGGTCATGATTAATTAATTGAAGCTCGACTCACAAATAGAGGATCAGCAGGGTTCCATGATGAATTTGTTTGAACTTGCTCTGAATCTGCTATATATTTAGCTTCTGCAAAACTAGTTTGAGTGCTAGAAGGGTGATCTACCTGTAATTAATTAAATGTTTTATTTTTGAACAATCCAATAAACCAATCCAATCCAATCGATGGGCAGTATAAAATTTACGAACCATTAAATATTGAATGACATTGTCCTCCTGACTGTGCTGGCTACTTTCAGAAATCTGTCGCACATCTGGGGTCTCTGATACTAAAATTGTACACTATTCAAAAATTAAAGTATTATTATCTAATCCCTTTGAACCTATAACAACTCAATGGGACAGCAAATATTATCCGATGGATCACATTCATCAAATGCCCTAACTATTACCAAAGGGTTCTCAAGATCAAGTTCCGTGGGATCGATTATAATGGTTTTATTTTTCCTCCATGATCCTCCAGTGAACCAGCAACGCAGTCAGGAAGTTGGCGAAGAAGGTCATCGTCGAAATCGTTTTCTAGAATGGTATTAGAAGACTAATTATTTTAAGCGAGAAATTGCAATAAAGTATTGCTATGTGGACCGGGTACTTAATACATAATAAAAAAGTTTGAAAAAATTAGTCAAATGATTAGAACTCTTTACCTTTGAACGTAACCAATAGTTCCTCCAACCCTACGGTCTGCAGAATAGATTCCAAAAGCTCTGTCATTTTTTTTAGAAAAATTTGGAAATATTTTTTGAGGCACAAAGTCACAAAATTGAGTTGGGTTGTGACTGGGCAAAAAAGATTCAAAGTTGCCGGACGGCGGTAATTTGATTTTTACAAGCGGTTGTTTAATCTCAATACAACTTGTGTGTACAATTTACTCAACTCGTGTAGAAATATCATTCTTAAATATCTCAAAATGATTAACTTTCGTGTTGATTTATTTCGTGCCATTTGTTGATTAAAAATTACACAACGATTGTTACAATATTAACCCATGTTGTTGAAACTCAAATTTTCACAATTATTGACTGCAAAATTTACAACCTTGTGTAGATATCGATTCATACAACCTCATTGGCTAATTTTTAGTTTGCGATTGAGTAAAATTTCCTCAACCTTGCGTAAAAATTGGTCAATTCGGTTTTACTCAACCTGTTGTGCACAACTTTATTTAGTGTGTGACAAACAATTCTCATGGTCGGAATTACTTTCAGGGGAGGTTAGGTTAACCTAAACCTTACCAGGATCATGATCATGCAACGAATTATCAGCAATTTTGGCCGCACAGGAGGATCTATTTTTATTTTGCACCTTACTCCATATACCATAACTTTTAACGTCTAACCTGTACAAAATTCACCAAGAGTTTATTATAAGCGATTAGGTATATAATCTATCAAGCAATGAAAAAGATTACAGTAATCTGTGTGTATAATAAATAAGTACACTCATGATAATTTTATAATAAATAATGTTTTTTTGAAAATAAGCATTGAAGAAATCAGTCTAATTAGAAATATGACATCTGTGTTTCGTACTATTTGGATGTAAATGTTCAATGCACTATCATGTACGAATTCCCAACTTGTAGGCGATTATTGCATGCCCACGGCTATAAATGCTTAATTGGTCCGTCTAACGCAAAAATTGAAACGCTTAATGAATTATCAGTTTAAGCTTCGCGGAAGCGAGAGAAGAATTATAACGATTTTCAGATAAAAATTAAATGGCAAAATACTCAAAAGGGTTTATTAAAATTTTGTCATTGCATAGGCATCATCGTCGTGGTTGCCAAGCAACTAGAAGACTTATATGGAGACAAATATTTACATATTAGTTAGCCAGTCTAGTTGGGAACATTTATATTTGGTGTTAGTTAATTTTGATTAACCCTTTAATTCGGATATAGGACAATTGTCGTTTTCTTGGAAATGGTTTAATTCGGGAGGAAGACAAAAGTCGTCCTGAAAAATTGTGGTCATGGTGCGGGAGGAAAACAATTGTCGTTTCCGCGAGGTCATTGATTTTCACGATTTATCCCTGCGGCATAAAATTCTCTGCCATTTTGGGGAATTTCTCCTACGCCAACCACACGTTAAATTTGAACATTTTCCAGTCAAAAAATGGGATATTTCCCGATATAACGCAATTTTAAAATAGGAATTTTTAAGTTTTTTCCGAGTATTATTAAAACGACTGAATTCCTTCTCCCGCACCATGACCACAGCATACCTATAATGTGCCCGAATTAATGCATTTTCTTGTTGTTAATCATCCTCCTTAAAGGGTTAAGCTGCAGAGTATTCATAGAACTGTTTCATTCAAACACATTACAATTGAGGAAAATTATTTTATTCTAATTGCGTAAATAATAAGGTGCATAATAATTTTCCAAAGAGAGTAAATTTCAACAGTATTAGAAAAATGTAGCCAGAATTGAATATAATAAAATAGTTCTCAATGGAACTAAAACGAATTGCATAATGTCTAATATTTGCCAGAGAAAATTAATTTGCAATTTTTATTGCTAACGGCAACACACTGCGAAAACGATATTTTACGATAGTGTACATTGCCCCTGGATTTTCTGGTAATTTTTCTGCAATAGCCATCGATCTTCTTACAAGTAGATTCAATCCAATCACGTGCCTTTTCAGGGTGAATTACACTATGGGTTGGGTCGGATGGTTTGCAAACGCCTGCTGATTTTGTAAACCCTTTTTGTCCACTGCAAATTTCCTGCTGAATTGATTTCGGACAAACCGTGATGTCCACAATGCATTCGAATAGGTCGTCTTCTGTGCAGGAGTTGATGAATTGGTTGCATATGCATGCTCTCTGGTTAGCTTGCTCTTCCGGTGTCAATGGTCGGACACATTGACAGGATTGAGATCCTTTAGTGACAGGCCCTAATTCAATATTGTAACCCTCCGGACAACCCTCGTTTTCGCTACAGGGCTCGCGAATACTACCACCGGGGCAGGTTTCTGCTATCGAATCTGTAACAATTTTTGCACACATATTTCATCTGATTCTAATTTAGCAAAGATTAAAATGCATATTTTGATGCGGAAACGTACCTTGAACTAAACCCGATGCAAGAATTATGACGAGCAGGAAGAAGGAGGAGAAATTGAGATTTCGCATTTTCAAGAATTCAAGTGGTCAGAAAAAAATATTATAACCGTAATTGTGTTGATAATAATGAATAAGAGCAGGTAATGCATCTCCTTTAAATACTGTATGGTTCATGGAAGTGCATATATTATCATAAGTAGATGAAGTTGGGTGGTCGAACACCAACGCAGATCCACACTTTACTTATGCCAGATTATTAATAATCTTATATGCCAATCAATCACCATTCCATGATTTGGTTTGCATCAGAGTGGAAAATTTTAAGTAATTCACGTCTTCAATGGAATTCAGAATTATAGCATAACTACCGATTTTCAAATGGTTAAATAAAAACAAAAAAAACTATTAGACTAAAAATCACAAACACATAAGCAGTAAGAGTAATGAGAATCGAAAATGCAATAGGATGTAATTCACTTCTCATGGTCGGAATAAATTTCTGGGGATTTATCAGGATCATGATCGAGCAAAGAATTAGAAATCTATGATTCTGGCCGCACACGACGATCCAAGTTTAAAGGTTTAGATTAGATACTGGGTCCCTGGCATAACTGGAGTACTTATGTTTGGACATTATACAGCATCCATACAAGACTAATAAAGAGTTTATTACCAGCGATTATGTAATCTATCAAACATTAAAAACAATTACACACTCTAAATAAAAGTTGTGGAAAATTTACCCAAGGTTGAGTAAAAAAGAGGATGACACAACAATTGTGAAAAATTTACTCAACCCTTGGGTAAATTTTGTTCAACTTTGTGTCATCCTCTTTTTTACTCAACCTTGTGTAAATTTAGCACAACTCTTATTTAGAGTGCAGGAATGAGTGTGTATAATAAGTACGATCATGATAATTTTAAAATGAATAACATGTCTGTTGAAGAAATAATCATTCCAGAAATCCTTCCCATAAGAAGTTCGACATCTGTGTTTAATATAGTTCGGTATAAATGTTTTATGCACTATCTTACATACAGCTAACTCTACATATGTAAGCGCAACATTATGCTTTATGCATGATTCGGATTTAATATTTGCATGCATGATCAAATGATTACACAAAATCAATATCTTCATTTCGAGCAAAGTACAAATCCATATACAATATATCCGGAAAAGTATGCAAGTAATGAACTTGAATAAATATTTGATAAATATGATGTTCGTTTCGGCACGAAATTACTCAAACGTTAATGATTTAAAAATATATAGAATCAAATTTTTCTTACTTCTGTAACAAGTAATTTCTTTATATTTTTTTTCTTTCAAATTTGGTGTTATACTAGTTTAAAGTTACTGAGTAACTAATAACTGCTCGTCCTGCTGTATTGAAATTGATTCTTGTTTTAATTTAATGAATGATTCACCTAAAGATATGACTCAATATAGACATTTTTAATTTTCATAATATTTACAATTAATTTAAACCTTTGCGAATTGCCCTTCTAAATATGAATAGTTTATTTAATTTTCGATTTATTGATCATCTTTGCTTGTTGGCAATGTTCTTGTTTTTAGCTTGCACAATTTCAATTTTAACAACTATAAAAACCGTATGGAAAATTATGTTTGCATTTTCAATTAGTGTAAAAATTGTGGATTATTTACTTTACTCTAAATTTAAATTATCAGAATATAATACCTAAATCATTTTTGTAGGCAGCGACAATTTTGCAGTAGATACAATAATTTGGTAACCCAATCGTTTAGACTTATTATGCACAATAACTAACAATAAGTGGATATAATTCTTAACATATAATTTTGAAGTAATGGAACATAGGTACGTTAGTTATCATTCTGCACCAATGTTTAATGGTTTAATGGTGGCCCTATTCATGAATTGCAACTTTATTTACCAACAGTATATTAGACTACATATACACAACAAAGATACAAAATCAAAATATACAAAAGACTTGAGCTTACATTATAAATATTTAATTCACATAGTTTTTATGAAACAAGGTCGTTCCAGTGTAAATTTCGCATGATCTGCTTCACGTATGCAGACATTGCAAAACGGTATGGTGTCCTCAACCGTAATGGAATTACGAATCCTTCTGTTTCTCATATCTATTACTTTATTAAATCCCACAACCGATACCACTGTGGCTGTCCAGCTACACATTTTTACTCTAAATTGCCAATGTTGAATCAGTTCAGAACAACAGCTTGTGACAAAGCCAAAATATGTCGGAATTATACAAACGAGCCACAATTGCATAATGAGCTTAATATTCCTTGCTCCACGTTGACGTTTAACACATGACCAATCGATTTTGCCCTGAGGTGTGCAATACATATGTATTTCATAACTTGGGATATCCTAGATATTTTTGTGACTTTTCCACTTAATCTCTTGGGATTTGTTTCGTCTGAAAACTTACCCAATATTTCAAAATATTCCAGCTCGAATTGTCTAATCATCAAGTTCACAAACCTCTTTGGAGCATACAACATTGGGAATGTAAGCGAATATCCTGTCACCCAGCCGATTAGAAATGTGACGATGAAAGCTTTTCTCTCCGAATTGACACCGTCAAATCATTTGAATCCACGAGCAGAATAACAACTGTGCCCGATAACTTTCACCTTATCCCGGCCCAAGGACACGAATTATTTCCTTCCCATATCATAGAAAAATGGCTTAAATCCAAATGTGGCTAACAATTGTAAATTGCAAAACATCAGTTTAACTCCCGACCGTAGAAACATTTTTTTAAGAATGTTGACCAGCGACCTTGATTGACTGATTGATCGTTTTTATTACAGGAGTCGTATGAGCGTCTGCACAAGTGCTGGTTTTCAGGTCTGGACTCCGGAAGACAAAATGTCGAATATAAATTTGCAAAACATAATTATTATACTAATTAGCTACGTTCTATGGATTAATATTAACTATGGGTCCTTTAGTCGTACATGTGCAATTAGTTACAGTATTATTAATTAACGCATATTAGTAATTAATTCTTTCACATTGTCACTAAGCGTTGAATCTGTCATTTTGTGGAAATCCCAGTAATTCGGTAGTTCATTCCATAGTTTATACCTGCGGTAAAGAAGGGATCTCTTCATGGATTCGGTATTGTGTACAATTGGGTTCATCCAGGGCATTATTAAATTTAACGTTTTTCTCTTGTCGGCAAAAGTGGTCTTACCCAGGGACCACCTATTATAAGCATTTTTTAATATTACATACTTTATTATTTCCTTTATCCTTAGAAAATTGCAGGCGTTCCTTATTTTCACCATTTCTTGCGTATGACGAATTTTCGAGAAAGAAAGGACGCTGTGGACTTTCTTTTTCGCAGTTCTTGGGTAAAAATAATAACAGGAATTTGTCTATTTTTTATTGGATCAGGTCTAAGGGGCTATCCATAAATTACGTAACGCTGGCCAGTATGGGCAAGATAGGGATTTTCCCCTATCCTTCCCATACTGGCCAGCGTTACGTAATTTATGGAGAGCCCCTAACTTGTTATCACAGAGAATAGCCCAGATATCTAAGCAATAGTCGGTTACAGAGCGTAAGTGCGCGTTGATCTTCGCCTTCATTGACTGAATGTTTAGATATCTTTTTACGCTCATAAGGAATGCTACTCCGTTACATATTTTGTTTAACACAAAATCAAAAGCAGGATCTAAGGTGATACCAAGGTATTTAAAACTTATAACACGCTGATCAATGAAGCGTTAACTTGTTACTGCAAGAAATTGATTACGTGCATCGTTCTAAAATATATTTATTGAATGATCTCATAACGCAGTGTATTTCTAAATTTGTGTAATTGTTTAAAGTTTCACCTTTAAAAGGGTAAATAATTGCATAAATTAATTTTCATCCAGGTGCGAATGACAAGTTTGTACATACACCGAACATTCGAACATTATAAAGTTGTGTACCTCACCTTGAACACTTAGCTTTCTTAACGTACCTTAATACCTTAAAACCAATGTATGCACGTACATATGTAATACCAATGCAGGTAACTACCAACTTGCTTAAACCATAAAATACCTCTGTTTTAATTTTCATCCTAGCTTTTCAATTTAATTCTCGGAATTTAATACCCAACGGTGAGGAAAGGTTACCAAAGATAAAATCATATACAGTTAGGTCTTCGTATTAAAATTTTGACATTTATGTATCAGTAAATAATCATTCGCAAGTTGTAATGTGTATTTTGTTGCGTGACTTATTTAAACAAACATTATTTCAAATCCTATATACATTTATCTACTTTACCAAAACCAGGTGACCCTTTTTAATTATTAATACCGATACCATACTTTAACGTCTATTTTACCCTTGTGTAAGTTTGTTACGGGTGTAGAACGCCAGACCCGAGAAACTGCTTCTACTTAATGTGTCTAGGTCAAACTTGATAAGTGCCCTTTCTAATGTGAAATATGACGTTATTTTAAAGTGAGATGGAAATAATACACTTTCAGAGTCGTACTGATAAATGACAAACAGACCTACTTTATTCAAACAATTTTAAAGGGTAATTGTCAACCAAAAATTATCCACTGTTCTCGACTTAATTTTCCACATCCCTCAATACTACGTGTCTGGTTGGTAAATAAAAAAGGACGGCGTGCTCCCATACGAAAAAGAATAAAGAACGACTTCCAATCCGATCACACCGCTCTTTTCAAATTTGAGACACTTTGTCTCCTTAACTATGGTACACTAAAATAGATACATACAGCAATTTACAACGGGTGTGTATCATAAATATGTAGGAACCATTCAGTTTATTACAAAATGCTAAAATGCTAAGAATAACTAAAGCTCCCAAACTCTTGCCATGTAAAATATGTCATCCATCATTTTATAAATATATCAATACATTAATGTACATGTTTATATGCATGACAAAGTAAATTTCTGACTTCCGTTTTTATCCTCATAATCGATAACCTTGACTATGTACAGTTATATAATTGCTATTTATGTATAACTAATTTTTAGGAAAGTAATAACACTTTATGTAAACATTTATTAAAATACATAAGTGCATACATAAATTCTTAACGAAATACAT